TGCAAAGCTTAGCCTATTAGAAATGATACACAGGTCAAATTGTACCAGTTGAACATATTGGAACCTTTCTTAATTTTGGCTAGAAACAATTGTATTTCATAATTAATATTGATTAATATGATTAGTTTGATTACGTGTTTACGTGCTGATGAATATTATAAAGATGAATGCTATAGTTATGCTCATGTTTCACGAAAGTACGTACTTAGGTACATAAATCCATTGAGTTTTTGTTCTTTACTTTATTTTAATTATTTTGTTTGCAAAAGATAGCGGTAGGTATACTGTGTGATATGAGAATGAGCACTTCTCTCTGGAGAAAATCTTCTGTTTTTGTTAACTACTTCTCATTGATGTCTCTTATTTTTCCTTACATTTATCTCTTCCAACTCATTCAGACTTCCTAAAAAGATACCTCCATCAATAAGCTTGGTTAAATATGTTCCGTCGATCAATAAGTATATGATATTGAATCAAATGATCTCATTCCTTTGAATTCGAAAGTCTTAGGCTCTAAAATTCCATATTTTGATATTCATTAAAATAATACTATTCAGTCTTCCAATGACTTTACAAAATATATTTTGTCTTATTCAAATTTTGGGTCTGGACTAAAATTTCCTCAGACACATGGGATATTCTGATACATCTAAGGCAAAGGAAATATAAGGTGAGATACCTTTGACCATAGATGGTAGATGTTCAAAAGAATAAATAGGTAGCTACAGGAAATAGTTCTTACGTATGAGATCTTTTGCATAAATGAGGTTACAAGATTCATTACATTTGGTGCAATGACAATACATTTGTGAATAGATAATTGACTAATTATAGCAAAAATCACATTAAATAGAAAATAGAAAATCTTTGGACTACATAGTAGAGTAAATTTTTTTTTCTTTCTCTCCTGGTGATTAAATTGAGCGAAACCCACTCGTCATAGCATGGTCCTCATAAATGCGTGGGAACCTTTTTGATTTGTTAATTTCAAAGAGAGACGTGATCAGAAGGGCAAAAATAATAATAGTCTTGTGACATACATTTTTTACGTTACAAAAATTTGTGCGATTAAATATCTTCTGATGATAGAAATCCCCCATTTTTTCATGTATTTATTTATTGTTTCTGTTACTTAATTTATTTAATTATTTCTTTTAAGAAAGGAGAAAATAAGGAAAACCTATGAAATGAAGTAACTAATAAATTTCAGAGTTTTAAATTTCCTGCCTTTTTTCCCAACTCAAAAAATACTGGCACTATGAGAGTAATAGATATCCCTCTCTTTTGAAAGATGCATAAGTATTGAAGAAGGAAGGAAAATGTATATTCAAACTAATAAAATGAATTTTCGTCACTCTCTTCAAATTTTTCAATTTTTGACTTTTTTTTAGATTTTTTCTATTTTTTATGTAATTGGGCTGGAAGAAGTTCATACGGAAATTCAAACGGTGAGAACATCTAAAAATACTTACAAAATGATACAAAAGTACTTAGAATTACCAAAACATATGCAAAACATAGGTACCTAACAAATACGGAATAACAAAAATAGTACATTGGTACTTAAGTACAAACCAAAACAATGTTTATGAACAATAAATAAAGCAGAGGGGTACCTACTTGAGGTGCTCTCAAACCTTAAACTTTTGTAGGTCAGGAGAGGAATAAAAAAAACGGATGTGAAATCTAATCCAATATTTTTAGGATAGTATAAAAAAATGAAAGAAAACCTCTCATTCATTATTCAGCTGTAGATAATAATAAGAATTAACAAGAATCACAGGTTGAAGCGCTTAATTTCAGTCAAAGAATTAAGAGAATAGCGCTTGAGCTTGAAAATAAATAAAAATAAATGCATACTAGAAACAAGTCTAATGACATTATTGAGATGTCAAATTGAGATACGGATTACAGATATAATCAATGAATGATAAGTACTACCCTAAGTTTAGGTGCCCTCATTACATTAGTCTTTAATTAAGTTAGTCCTCATACCGCATAATAATTAGAGGATCTTATTATTGAAACCGTGGTTGAGAAATATCATCATATTAACCACTTAGAATGCATTTTTCCACAAAAATAAGATGAGATCTAGACGAAAAAATGACAACTTAAAGGAAACAATATATTTTACAACCATGCAAGGTCAAAAAACTTAAGTGTGACATGAATTTAAAATGATTTTGAAAAAAATTTACAACAATTTACAGAAATTTTTTTTTTACGATTTAATATGAAAAAAATTTTGTTTGTACAAAAAAAAATTCTTTTTTTCTCCTTCGACTTAGACAAACTCGAATTTGGCAAGTGTTACACTTTTGGTCAATTTTAAATTCTAAATTTCTAGGTACTCAGAGGCTGGTCAAACCGCTTTTTATTTACAGCTAAATACTAGAAAACAATTTAATGAATAAACATAAAAACAGGTATTAATCCTTAAAAATTTTCAAGTAACATGAATCCCTGAAGGCTTGTGTCCCTGAAAATTTTTGGCGAGGTTGTTCCCATCAGATCGGTACAATTTTTTTCTCCTAATAATAAAAATAAAAAAAGGCTAGTTCTTAACTTTCAGAATACGCATTATTTGATCATGTTGATTAGTTAAGTACCTAAATGAAGTATTTTGATCTAAAAGCTTATCCGATTCGAGAAAAATAAGTTTGAATTGTATCATGCTAAATTATTAGGATCACCGTTTACTTTTGTATTTCTTTCGACTAAAAGAGAATTTAAAAAAAGCGCAGCATTTTTCTACTGTAAGATGAGGGAGAGGGCAGAGAAAAGAAAAAAAAGTACCTACTCAGATATAAAACTACTCTACATTTTGGTCGTCAATCCAGTTAAGAGAGTAAAAGTCTTACTTCCTCTCAAAACTTTAAAAACAGGGAAACGTTTAAAAAAAATGAGAATGATAAAATAATGAAATCATTTCCTTAAAACGCACATAAAATAGATCAGATTATCTTCCTTAAAAATAAAACAGAAATATAAACACGGTAACTTTGACTATCTATCCATTTGTGCTCGAAATCGAGACACCCATGCTATCCTAGGCCATTGTCCCATAAAATCCTTCCGACCGCGTGATAAATAAAATACATCGAACGTCAGATTTAAATATTCGTCTAACAAGCTGAAGCTGCTAAAATGTTCGCTCCGTCAGATGTGATAGGGTGAACATTTAAAACAGTTCTATGGTGGAAAAGTCGGTGCAGGGAAAATTCCAAAACATTCGATTCCGGCGAATAAAGAAAATTCCAATCATTTTCGGCCGACATTATTTTCAATGCTGACCATACATTCGAAACTACCTTATCGGGAAACGACTGGAGTTTTCACGACGAGCCGCGAGAAAGATCAAATACCAACATTGTGGATTTGATTGAAAGAGAAAGAAAAATCTCGTGATTTTTCTCCGAAACCAAAATCTTTTGAAATTAAGCATCGTCCTTCTGATGCGGCAGTGGCGATTCTCGAAAGTCGGAAAATTACCACTGCTATGCTGCCGTACTAAGGAAGAACGCGTCACGAACATTCGACAGTTGCCAAATCGCCCCGGATAAAACATATATTTTTGAGAACGATTATACGTATTTTCCCTTGAAATGTTCAGACGTTTTAGACGAAATTGCGAACAAAATTGTCTGGAAAAATCCTATATATTAAAATGCAAAGTCCCGAATCTTGGGGCATTAACTTTGAGAGAACCACCGGACCGATTTGCATGGGATTTTTTTTAAATGAAAGCCCCTGAGCTGTAGATTTGCAGGCTGTGATCGTTTTTTCGATTTTCTCAAATTTTCTCCCATAATTTTCTAAAATTGTCTTCGATGCATTAAAACGGAGGTCCGAATCTTTGGACGTTAACTTTGAGAGAACCACCGGACCGATTTGCATGGGGTTTTTTTTAAATGAAAGCCTGTGATCTGTAGATTTACAGGCTGTGGTCGTTTTTTCGTTTTTCTCAAATTGTCTTACTTTTATCAACGAGTGAAGTTTAGCTGGGCTCAAATTTTCTCCCATTTATTCAGACTAAAGTCCGCATTTTGGGGCATTAACTTTGAGAGAACCATCGGACCGATTTGCATGGGGTTTTTTTTAAATGAAAGCTTCTGATCTGTAAATTTGCAGGCTGTAATTGTTTTTTCGATTTTCTCAAATTTTCTTACTTTTATCGACGAGTAAAGTTCAGCTGTTTTGAGCGGTCATCCGGCCGCTACCTGCTTGCCCGTCCCTAGATACCCCCTCTAGGGTCTCAGCCACCCCTCCCACCACGTTCTTTCGGCTATCTCCGTTTTCTTTCGTATAGCTCTCCTTCCACCAACCTCAAAGAAGGAAGTTTGGGTCGCATCGTCGTTCGTCAGTTCGTCACTCGCCACCCACATTCCTTCGCCATCCCTCGGCTACTCCGCCTCACAGCTTCTTGATATCCTGGCATCTTATTCTCTGCGGCTTGACTGACCCTGACTTATTAACTGCAGTATTGCGTATTGCTAACAACACGTATTGTTACAGACATTTTATTCATCATTATTAAGTAGATTCAACTAATTGCTCCGATTCCAATTAAGGTACTGCACCACCATTGCTAGCTGTGGAGGGCGCCCGTAGGGCGTCCGGAGCAGCTAGTTGAAGATAAAAATTCACAATTCTCCCTGTAAATTCCAGAGGCGGATCCAGCGATTTGGCAACACCGGATTTCCTCAATTTAAACCTATGCGAAATCATCGATTCTCGTCGGAGCATCTGGCCCCTCCAAGAATCGATACATTTCGATAGGTTTAAATGGAGAAAAGACAATGTTGCCAATTTGCTGGATCCGCCAATGGTAAATTAAGTTTTCTTGGAAGGAAATTTGGCAACGTCTGAAGCAGTGGCGTGGCGTGAATCGCGATATATCGATTTTTATGCCATCTAAACCTATGGTAAAGAATCGATTAATAAGGTGTTCGCTGCGAACACTCTGTTTATTGATCCTTATCCATAGGCTTAAATGGCATAAAAATCGATATATCGCAAAGCACGCCACGCCACTGGTCTGAAGGTTCACACGGCGTTCTTCCTAAGCACAGTAGTATGCGGGCTCAGGCCTCATATCTTACAGACTAACTATTCACTAGACTGAGCGGCGTGCCTCTGAGGCCCTTTTTCAAAAGTGTATGTCCTGGACGTCGGTGGGCGTTTCGGGCTTGTGGTCGCTCTCGGCGGCCATGAGCTTCCCGCCGGAGGGCGCGGGGGGCGGCTTGGAGGCGAGGGCGGGGCCGCGGTGCTGGAGCGAGGACATCTCCGAGGACAGGAGGCTCTCGACGAAGGCGACCATCCGCTCGAGGCTCGGCCGGTCGGCGCCCACCGCGGCGCCCACTTGCCAGGCCAGCTCCTCGCCCGTCGAGAGGTGGAGCCCCCGCACGGCCGCCACCAGGGAGGCCGCCGCCACCTGCGAGGGGCGCACTCGCATCAGGTCCGGTTCTGAAACAGAGAGGGAAGAGGCGATTAGAGAGCTTGCCATGTCAAGTGAAAGTGCCTTCAATTTTGAACATGCAATACGCACATCCGTGCAACACGAATGGTTGCATCTAGAGTCCCTTTATACCGAGAGTCAAGACAATGTGAATCCATTTCTGATTGGTTCCCGTATTTTGGGCCTTCTCAGTGTCACAAACGGGAATAAAGATTACATTTTCACCGATTGCAAAGATTATAATCTGGAATGGACCAGGGAATTACGGGTTCAGCAAGGAACAAACGGAATGAGAGAAGGAACGGAGAAAGGAATTTGAGAATTGGCCGATCAAAGATTACAAAAAACGTTCAATTTCTGTAATCTTTATTCCCGTTTGTGACTACATGAGGGGTGTTGTCTTGACTCTCAGTATAAAGGGACTCTAGTTGCATCAAGGCGCTACAAAAAAATCACAGTCGTTATATGCAGCTTTCGAAAGGAAATTCCATCTTTCCCACTCGCCTATGTTCCGTTTAGCGGAAGCACGTCCAATGGAGATGTTGCATGTGTGAGGAATTTGCGATTTGACTGTTGACTCTTCCGTAAAAGTTCGCGAGAAACACGATGATGCCACTGGTTTTCTCTGATATCAACTCTCAAGCTCAGAAAAAGCTCTCAAGTTGAGGCCAAAATGGAGGGGATATCCCACGCTATCCTGAGAGTCCACCTCTACATCAAGACAAACACTCCATGCAAAGATAGGATGCAAATACATTGACAGGGCTGCCGTGTTTTCAGTTTTGGAGTCCCCGAATAAAGTGGCAGCCCTGTCAATGTATTTGCTCCCTATCTTTGAATGGAGAGTTTGTCTTTATGTAGAGGTGGACTCTCAGGGTAGGGTGGGATATCCCCTCCATTTTGGCCTCATTTTGAGAGCTTTTTGAAGCTTGGGAGTTGATTTCAGAGAAAACCAGCAGCACCATCGTGTTTCTCGCGAACTTTTACATAAGAATCATTCATAAGCGACTAGCAAGGCGTAAATGATCGGTTATCGATATTTCCCCATTTAAGGCTACGAAAAAGAATCGATGACGAAGGTGTTCGTTGCAAACACCCTGTTTATCGATCCTTTTCTGTAGGTTTAAATGGAAGATCAATTGATAAATCGCAAAACTGATATAAACATAAAATTGGGCAACGATACACCTCGAGAGGGGTCAAAGAGTAGGATCGGAAGGGACGAGGAAAGGAGAACCTGCCTAGGCCAGGCCCAGAGGCCACGGAAACCTTTCTCAGGACGCCTACTTCCGCTCTCCCGAAACAAGTGCTCGGAGACTTCAACGCAGGAGTAGAAAAGTAGTCGCGACCGGGTCCGGGTAGTACATCACACCCCCGCACCCCATCGGAACAAAAACTTCCAATCTCTTTTTTTTTCTTCCGGAGGTAATGATTACGAGTAAGTGGAGCGATTATAATGGAAAATTAATACCCATTGCCTTTTGCTATCGTACCTAAATACCTGCATGTATAGGGAGAGTAAGTTACTATACATTTCCATTTCGAGGGACCACTAGACAAAGTGCAAATGTAAGAATTGAGATACATGTTTCCTCATCAAAATTTTACTTAGGATGAGCAAGGGTAACGATGAGACTATGCTAAAAGAGGTGACATAAAGAAACAACAACTTTAAAACTCGTTCCCAGATTTGCACGACACAGCATTTGTATTTTTTTTTTATTCCCACCGCCTCCTATGCACAAAGCCTTTAATTTTTACGCATGCAATTCATCTCAAATTTGATTTCATTTATCAAAAATCATCTGGAGAAAACGGTAAAATATACGATTCGGCTTTTTAGGACTTCACGCCCATATGAATCGATAGCAGACCAGCTTAAAAAGTGGATCCAATTACGGCGGAACAGATCGCATCGTAAATATTGTCTTTCGACGAAGATCGTAAAAATTTTCGAGGGTTGGAGTGTCCTCTCAAAAGGGTTGCGATCGAACCTCTTCCTTCGAGAGTGCCACGCTAAAGGAGCCATACGATTTTCAGGGTTATAAAAGCACGATTGGACTCATATTTGTTAAAAGGGCACACACTCACTCTCAGATGAGCCCTGTAATACATGATGAAATTGCGCCAAAGGGCTCATCTGAAACAGGGCCTGTTGCTCTTTAACAAAGGAGAGTTTTAACTTTAAAGGGGGCGGAGCCAGCAGACCCTTCACGAGCAGTCGCCCGACGTGAATGATCGAGTATCGATAGTTCCCCATTTAAAGCTATGGTGAAAAATCGATTTTTAAGGTGTTCGTTGCAAACACCCTGTTTATCGATCCTTTTCCATGGGCTTACATGGCAGATTAATCGATAAATCGCCACATCACTGGAGGAGCCTCGACTAACAGTGGCAGGAGGAAGCATAATTTTGATATGGATTGGCTATGAATTATATGTCTTTCTAGGTCGTAAAAATCAAGGGTGAGTGATAGGGTGAGATTTTATAGGTGCGGTGAAAATCATTGCACTCCGATTAGAGCATTTGTCAATGAGGAAGAGCAAACGTTTTCTTATGGGAACTTATTTGTTCCTCATTATCACTCGGAGGTAAGAGGTAAAGCCCTCCCCCCCCCACCCCGGAGTCTAATTGTAAAGCTGATGGAACTAATGCACATTTTGTTAATTTTTAGGTTGTTGGCCCGGTTAACCGTTGATTTTTGCATGCATAAGTAAGTATTCCTCATCCAATCTTGATACCTATGACATCTAGCTGGTTCTAGAATTTACACGGAGAAAAAAACTTCGTGTGTGGGACCCGAAGTTTAGGTCATATGGATCTCTGAAGTTTTCGGATTGAGCATCTGAACCCTTTAGGTCCAGCTGCTTAGGTTCGACTCACACGTCTGAAACTTCAGTTCTTACATCTGAAGTACTTCGGTTTTCACATCCGAAAAACTTCGGTTCTCACATCTGAAGTACTTCAGATGTAAGAACTGAAGTTTCAGATGTGTGATCCGAACCTCGACAGCTAGATCTAAAGTGTCCAGATGCTAAATCTGAAAACTTCAGAGATCCATATGACCTAAACTTCGGGTCCCACGCACGAAGTTTTTTTCTCCGTGAGGCATTAAGTTGCTCAGCACATCAATTGTTTACCATCAAAAAGAGGCCGAAGGGGTGAATTATCAACCCCTTTTCGGATGTAGGCGCCACTTATCTAAAAAATCAACCATCTCCTTCGGGAACCTTCCGCTATTTGTCATTCGATTGAGTGGGGTGTTGAGGATGCCGCAAACTTCCTTTCCGCGGTTGTATCAGACGGTAAACTGGGTCAATCAATCGATATGCGGTCGGAAGTCGTCGACATGCAAAGACAGAGTTTGACGCATCAAGATCGGAATGAAGTGCAACATCCGAAAAGGGTTGTCAATCCGCTCCGAAGCTCAAAGGACAACCGGAACAGCGAGTGATGGGGGTGTTCAACCTAAATGACGCCACAAAATGGGTAGCTCTGCCTATTCTGTCGCTGAGGAAAAACGCCGTAACTTCAAAACTTTCAGACGTTGCCATATTTCCTTCAATAAAAACCTTAATTTATTGGGAAAATCGTAAATTTTTTTCTTCAATTTTTTCAGACAATTTTGTTCGCACTTAGTCTAAAACGTCTGAGCATTTGGAGGAAAAATACGCAGAATCGTTCTCAAAAATACATGTTTTATCCGGGGCGATTTGGCAACTATCGAATGTTCTTAAGGCGTTCTTCCTTAGCACAGCAGTATTGGAGTACCTATTTATGTAGTCTGACTAGAATCATTACCAAGCCTTTTACAGGGAGAAAGAGTTCAGCGGGAAACTATCGAAAGTGTTAACGAATTATGCAGCTCTCATATAAAAGGATATTTGAATATGATTAGGCGAGAGGAAATTTCTTCTCGTGATGATGAAAGAACTTGAGCTCACAAAGAGAGAAGAGGAAGAGACTAGGTTGGCGCTGAGTCCCTTCCATGTGTAGAGGTATATTTTGAGCTGTGAAAGTAGGGAGAGATTGGAGGGAAATTTCAAAGATTGCTCTGTAGTTCAAACTCTTAAACAGAGCATTTGTACGTGCAATACTAAGTTATTGACTAGACGATACAGCTTCTGAGTCGTTCGAAAAAATGAATAAAAGCTGCTTTTAAAGACCACATGGTACTGAAAAACATATTGATCTTTTGATAAAAATGTTGAAAAAACCATTGAATATTTTATAGAGAAGTCCTTTCCAACTATTGCATGAAAAATATGTATCTTAAATTTGGATCTTGCAATAAAAAAGACGCAGTTATGGCCAATGCAGGTTTTCGCCAAGAATAATGAAGTTTGAATGGGCCCTTCATGTTATGACTTATTCATTTGCAGTTGTGGTTTTAATTTACTCCATTGGAAATTTCATTCGCAAATCGTATAGAAAGGAACCCATCATTTCAGCTGATTCCAGGTCATAAATCTGGCCATGAGAACTGAGCGCAGCAGTATTCTTCAAGAACTAAACTGCTCTCTCTTGATTGTCACTCGAATCCCAGATTTCCGCGAGATAGTCCCTTTCGATGGAAATCTGTCAGCCGGAAGTAACATCCCTTCCGACTTTGTCGAAATTTATGCAGAACTGCCGATTTTTTATGATCGCTTTTATCGACTGGACAAATGGTCGTTGCTTCATCGGGGTGAAAAATCAAAAGACTCCTAGGAAAGGCTCGAAAATTATGCATTTCTGCCGGCGATTATGCAAATCGCTTAATATTTTAACACTCCTGGTCTATTTTGACACAAAACGAAGGTAGGTATGCGGGGCTATTCTCAACACCTCCCCTTCTTTCCGTTTATCTGACGGTGCTGCCTTGACCCTCCTCCCGAACGGTTTATTAGCAACTAGGCCCCCTCGCAGAATAAGCTCCCTAATTTTTATGGTCTCTCTCGGCCAATCCCGATCCGTTTGGCCATAAAGAAATGAAGTCATAAATATTAGATTTTACTGCGATGTAATG